ACTCCAGTCTTTAGTGTCACATGATCCTTCAGAAATCATTCTAACATGCTGATTTGGTGCTCAGGAAACATTTTTTATTATTATCAGTGTTGAAAACAGTTGTGCTGCTAAATATTTTTGTGGAAATTAGGATATTTTGTCAGGATTTTTTGATGTAGGTTAAAAACAGCATTTATTTGGAAAATAAATTTATGTAACAATATAAATATCCTTACCGTCACCTTTGATCAATTTAATGCACCCTTGCTGAAAAATAATAATTTCTATCAAAACAAATTCTTACTGACCCCAAACCTCTTGAATGATAGTGTCGCTCAAATGCTATAAAACCATAGCAGCAATAACGTGCAATAACAAAACTGAACTCATAATACAACATGAACAAACAGGCAAAACCCACATCCACATGCCGATGCTGCCAAAATATGTTCAGTAAGCACAGATAGCGGGTTGGAAGGGAATGATTAATCAGAAAATAACTTACGTGCCGCTTTCTCCAATAAAACAATGACTCCTGAAAAAGAGTAGAGGCAGACGTGACTCCATATGATCGCACTTCCCTTTCGATTCTGCATCGCTGCACTAAAACGTATTTTTTTCAAAGCTTTTGGTATTCCTTCTGCTATTGAAGGACAGTGAGCTTTGTGTGTGATCGTGATGTCTTTGAACAGGTTTTGGAGGCTGCCGCTCAATGTGACGTCACGCACCGAGCAATATTGTATGAAACACATGTAATGTATTAAATGGAGCATTACATTGATACTATACGATTTTCTATGAAACAAAAAGCAATTAAAACGGAGAAAGTTTGTAAACGCTTTAATATTTTTATATAAATTTGTATTTGTATACAGCCCCTCTAGTGTGAAATTGTTTATTTCACGTATAATGTTTATTGTTTATATCATGTATAGCGTTTGTCATATACATGTATTTTGATCTTGTAAAAAAAAAAAAAAAAGTTATTCATTAACCCAAGCTCCCTTTCAAAAAAGTTAAGGATCTATTTTAAAAACATGTGTCTACCTCCAAAAAAAGCTAATAACACTTGGACTGTCTGCTCTCATTTGGGATGTTTTCGTGGATTTTTTCTTTCTTTCTTTATTTTATTTAATTGGATTTTTCCCATGTATAATAATAATAATAATTATTATTATTATTATTATTTATTTTAAGTGTGTGTGAACTCTTGGATTTTACCCTTTAGCTTTTTTTGTGGTTTGCAATATGCAATATGTTCTGTAAACAATTATTGATTAAATAAATAAATAAATAAAAACAGCTTGCTTATGTAGCAAGCTAGGATCTATTACTTGATATACTAAAATATAAAACAAAATTGAAAAATATCACATAACAATAAAAAAAATAATCTTTTATGACAAATAATCTAAATCTAAACAAAGTTAAAAGTCGAAATTATAAGGTAAAAGGCTAGGTTTAGTGCTGTCAAATGATTAATCGTTTGACAACACGATAAACACGGTAGTTAAATTATGACAAAAGTCACCTAAAAGTCATAACTGACATAAAATGTCATAATTATGACAGAAAATTCGATCCTTAATGTCATCATGATTTACCAGAGCATAATTTTCTTTGGCTTCCATACTATTCATCATATTATTTACATACCAAACAAAATTAACAAACAAGTACTATGATTACTCAAGTAAAGAGATTTGATCACGTGAGAGTCATGAGACCCCAAGCGCACATGACTTATCACGTGATCCGTCGTTGCTCTATAAAGCCATCAGCATGCTCCTCAACTGTTGGTTATTTTCGCCCAGTGGAACTTTTGGGGAGTGAGACACACATTTCAAATAGAACAACTGCCAGCAGACGAAAGACAGGTAGGACTTTGTTCCTAAAATCTGCTTTTAAATCACGGGGACGTTTAGTAGCATGACGTTATTTCAAATACACTTACTGCTTTGTTATGAAATATAATATTGCAGTGTTACAGCGACTTCCTTTGATTTTAAAATATGGATTCATTGTTCGTTTGACTATGTAAACAAGGCCTGCAGTTAAAAAGGAAAGCAGGGGAAATGGAAACCTGAGCTTATGTTTTAACACATGTGAATGCTTCAGCTGCTTTAAGTGACATTATGCTGCTCGTTTACTTACAAATCCACTATTAGCTTTCAAACATAAGTTGCCTCAGATATTTTACGTCTCGCACTACTACAGTAACGTGGGAACTTTAAATGCCGCGAACAATCTTATATTTGCATTCTCACTATATAATTGACTCCTGACGGTGTTAATACCACTTACAGCAGTATTTTTAACAAGTCGTCGAGATTACTGCGAGGTTTAAGGTCAGAGTAGGCTGGCTTTCTCAAGTATTAGCAGGCTTTCCTTGCAATTGCTGACTCACTATAGTTGTCAAGATTGTGGCAAGTCAATAATGGGGAATTATGAAGTACAGTTGTTTAAAACCACGTCTGCTGTGAAACCACTGAGTTAGGAGCCCCTTTAAAAAAAAGCCTAAAATATACTTACCCAGAGTAGTTAATCAAGGCTTGTTTGACTGGTTGTGTAACCATTAGGAGTTTTGGCCATGTTTAAGATGTCTAAAGCTTTCACGTCTGCATGACCGCAGTCTGAAGATAACACTACTGTAGTCCGTGATCTGTTTCACCTGATTGAGAAGTGTTCTTGATGTGCCACCTGACTGTTGTTGATTTAAGGCTGTGATGTTTAGAACTTTAAAGTTTTAGTTGAAATGATTCATGAAACCGACTAAGATGCAGCATTTTTAGCTGCAGTTTATATTAAAAGTGTTTAAAGTGGGATTTTGGACCGCTAGAATTACACCTAAAGCCTCCTTTCTGTGTACAAGTGAGAATAATGGAGTTTGTTTCAGAATGTGGCGGCTGGCTTTCCTGTGCGTGATCTCAGCCCTTTCAGTTAGCTGGGCTCGTCCTCGACTTGCTCCTCTCTCCCATGAGATGGTCAATTTCATCAATAAAGCAAACACTACTTGGAAGGTAAGAAGCTGTTCTATTCACTGATACACTAAAATGCATCCTAGTGAGGATAAATGAGCCACTATTAGAAAGACCTTTTGTATTGAGGCATTTTCTTCAGCGCCTCTTTCATAATTTTGCATCAAGCTTAATTGTCACCTATAGGCTGGACACAACTTCCATGATGTGGACTATAGCTATGTGAAGAGGCTGTGTGGGACTTTGCTGAAAGGACCCAGACTCCCTGTCATGTGAGTTCAGTTGATTTTTGTGTGAGTGGAGAAGATTGAAAAGAAGTGCAACTAGTTAACATTGCAATTATTGTATACATATGACTCCTTTGTCATATGATGCAGTTCTGTTTCCTCATGCTTATTGCTTTCAGTTCTGCATTCTGGTATAACAGATTTCGCTTCGTCTTTAACCAGGGTACAGTATGCTGATGACTTCAAGCTCCCCACTAACTTTGATGCCAGAGAGCAGTGGCCCAACTGCCCCACTCTTAAAGAGATCAGAGACCAGGGTTCTTGCGGCTCATGCTGGGTGAGTTCTTGTCTCTAGTGGATTCAATATGACCTTGGATCCGTTATTTGTACACTTCATATTTTTACTGGGATTCTTCAATCTTTTCGTAGGCTTTTGGGGCTGCTGAAGCCATATCTGACAGAGTATGCATCCATAGCAATGCCAAAGTGAGTGTGGAGATCTCCGCTCAGGACCTGCTTACCTGCTGTGACAGCTGTGGTATGGGGTGAGTTAAGCCAATGCAGTAATGTCATTACAGCTACAGGAGGACCTTGTGTATGCTGATGCATTAAACTAGCATCAGGATAACGCTAAACAAGTATGCTGGCTTTAAATGCTTTTTTTTGCATCTAGTTAGACATCACTTTAGGTCAGTGCTTCTAAACCTAATTGACTCCCAAGTCCACAGAAATATTTAAAGGCCCCCAGCCCTTTTTGTTTTTATTATGCTGTTCCTTATTTCGAAGTTCCTCGTGGTTCCCCCATTCCAGCCCCCGGGTTGAGAATTGCTGGCTTAAAGTAAAGAGTTTTTTTTTTCTGAATGCTGCCAAAAGATGAATCATTGAACTTATTTGTGGTCCTTGTTTGTCACTACAGGAAAGACATCCTATAGTGTCCCATCTAATCAGAAGGACATTATGAAAGAGCTCTACAAGAACGGTCCAGTAGAGGGAGCTTTCACTGTCTATGAGGACTTCCTGCAATATAAATCTGGTTGGTTTCTGTCTATTCATGTACATGGCAAGAGTACTAATAACATGGAACTGTTGATAATTTGGTGGTTCTTTACTCATTTTTGTAGGTGTATATCAGCATGTGAGTGGATCTGCACTAGGTGGTCATGCCATTAAGATCCTGGGCTGGGGAGAGGAGAATGGTGTCCCCTACTGGCTTGCTGCTAACTCCTGGAACACTGACTGGGGTGATAATGGTGAGGGTCATTTTTTTGTTTGAAGACTAAAATGCTGCTTTTATTGTCTGCAGTTTGTTACCCAACCCAGTAAACTGCCAAGGAAGTGTTCATGTGTTTTGTACCAACATATTTCCAGATTTATCGATTTACAGAATGTGCAAGAGTTAGCTTCATTTACTTTTTTTTTTTTTCCAAATTTAGGATATTTCAAGATTCTCCGAGGTGAGGACCACTGTGGCATTGAGTCTGAAATTGTGGCTGGAATTCCACAGTAACCATCAAAAAAAAAAACGCAAGAGGAGAGCTGAAATGAGCACCCGGTTCAAAACGCAGACATTGAATGTCTCCAACTTAAGCTGACTGCCTTCCTTTATTGCCATGTTACATTGTTAATCAGTGAGTTTTATATGAGTCTTTTTAGACTGGGATCCTCGATCAGGTACGTTTTAGAACTGGTGTGACCTTTTTATGCATCGCAAAATGTTAACTAGTCCAGGTCATTGGTGTCAGTTTTAGACCAGTCTATAAAATTTCGGCACAACTTGATGCCTCAGCCAACTTTACCCAATATGTTTGACTTTTTAAATTTGCTTATTTAGGTTGAATGGTTTTTACTTTATTTTGGTTTAATTTTTAATGCACTGTCTAAAATGTAATAAATATTAAAACCGAAGTATGTACTGTCATGACTTTTTTTTTTTTTTCTTTTTTTTTTTTTTTTTTAAATCACTTGCAACATCAAGTTTTCAACTAAAAGTAACTAGGTAGAGAATGAAAAAAGGAATATCAGACCTTAAGGCAAAAATGTGGGGTTTCGCACTTCATATAGAAATCAAGAAAGCTGAGGCTCTATGGCTATGAGAAATCTGTACTGGAAATGTAGCATGACTGATCTTTTGTCTCCTTGGAAGTGCAATACAGCTTCACTGTGTTCAGCAAAACTGCATAGTTCACTTATGGCAATACAATTTCAGCCCTCTACAAACTGATCCATCCAAATTGTTGCATGTTCATCAGAAAATTTAAAGGCTTTCAGCAACATTCTTGAAGCTCAAAATACACTCTCCACTTCTAATTGAGCTGTTAATTTCAGAGGCGTTAAACCTCAAAAAAAGAAGAAAAAAAAAAAGGAACTGGGTACAGGAATATGCTAAGAGTTTGGTATGAAACCTTTAAAAATGGTTGCTAAACCTTGGCTGTGACTGGATTTCTGCATTAAACTCTCAGTAAACCTAAGCTGTACTCTCTGGGTTTGCATAGTTTGAACAGGGCATTACTAATTCAGATGATTTGTGTTTGGGTTCCATAATTCAGTTCAGAAGGTTTACAATAACTTGATGTGTACCACAATTCTAATATCATTAACACATGCTCTTGTACTTTCATAACTTTTAGTATATCCAGAATTAAATTTATGCATCAGTCGTACAGTTTATGCAGCAGGTAAGTAGTTTCCAATGTATGGCTGATTTGTACAAGTCTCTAAAGTTGCACTTCATGCTTAATTTGGCATTTATATCGCTGGTTGCTCTTGATGGACTGGTATTTTCTTCTGTTCCTGATGATCATCTTGCAGCTCTTGCTCTACAGGAGGCTGCAGTTGGTCCTGATGTTTTTCAAGCTTTTCAGGTATCTGGTTGTGATTTCTCAGCCTCCATGTTTTCTTCTTTAGCGGAGTCTTGTGTCTCATTTTCATGTTCAGACTCTTGGTTGACCTCTACATCTTGTTGGTGAGTTTCAGAAACTCTGTCCTCTGATTTTGTATGTGTTTGTTCCTGATTTAAGGCTTCCTCAGCAGGTGGATCAGGGGGAACTATTTTGTTTTCTTGCTGATGTTCTATCGTGGATAACAGCTCTGAAGGAGCCAGTAGTCCATCCTGGTTCAGATCTTGAGTTTGTAGCAGATAATCCACCAAAGATACAACCTAAAGTGTAAACGACTTCAAGTCAACAGAATTCAAGAGCTTTTTTTACTTGGATGTTGTGACAAAGCTAGGCAGCACTCACAGAATCTGAAGACTTTGGCAACATTTCATGGTGAGTCAGAAAATCCGTCAGTAGTTGCATCAGTTCAAGGCCATCCATCTGCCCACTTCTGTCATAGTCGTACAGAGAGAAAAGGAAAAATACCTCTGTGACAAGAAGAGAACAAATCAGACAATAAGAAGCTTATGAAAACCTGAGAGCACCCAAGGTAAACTGCACAACTGAGAACATCTGGTCTTACTTTTGTATCTACCATGTAGAAATGTCAGACAAGTTTCGTTTTAAAGAGAGATATATATATATATATATATATTAAATGACATGTATTACAAACAATATAATTATGGCAATTATAAACAATCTCATTTTATTCATATACAGATAAGTTGAATGTTTATTATATTTAACAAATGTGTAATGTATGAATGCCATTTGTGTGTAGATCATCTGCTGTGCTTCTAGGAAAAGAAATCTATTAACAATTTCAAAATAGCAGTTTCTATAGGACTAACTTTAATTTAGGCAGTGGAATTATCTTAACATGAAATGGAAGATACAAAAAAATATTCTGCAATTGTGTGTAAAATAGAAAATCACGCAGCACTAGTGGAAATAAAAGCAGTTAACAGAGACTGTTAATAATGAACTATATTAACCTTGTTCCCTTGTGTTCAGCTCTGGACTGGTCTGTCCTTCCTTCATGCTGCTCTTGATGTAGCTTTGCAAGAGCCTGTCATACAGAATCAAAGATCACACGCCACTTTAGTTCCGCTACAGTATTTATAGAGGAAAAAGAGCAAGGATCTGAATTCATGCAGTACTTTCCTGAATTGGAACATTTTAAAAATTACTTTTAAAGATAAATACTGGAAGCATTGTGTTAAACGTGCACAACTGCATAAGGTCTTTCTTTAGGACTTATTTCTTTTTAAATAAGTCTGAATGCACAACTATGATTTTGTTTTGGCACCTTTTTTAGCTATTGCTTGTTCAGCATGTCAGTGTGTCAGCTGTGGAAATCTCAGCATTATCTCTGATGTGACAACAGACTTTGACCCTTGGGGCAACTGTACTACCTTATTTGATCAGGCGGGTTTGACGATAGGGAGTAGTAGTCAAAAAATTAACCTGTGGTTGTCTTCGCTGGAGCCAAAAGGATTTGCAAGGTCTGGTACAACAATGTCATCACTGGAAAAACAACAGTCACAAGAAAAATTAGCCAAGTTTATTTCACATTTAGAAAAAAATCAAGGCCAAGATACTTATATTTGCTATTGGATAACTATCTATCCATCCTAATCAAAATAGTCCACCCACTATGGTAAATTAGAATCGGAAAGAGCTTAAAATATATGTATAATTTATTAATGTACAGAAATGTTATTTACAGGTATGCAGTTCAAGATGTTACTTACAGATGTACAATACAATTCTGAAACGTGTTATGTACAAATGTACAATTGATGTACATAATATCTAATAATCTAAGTTTAATATATATTTATTTATATAGTTATTTAAATTAATATAATCCACCATAATAATTCTTGCCTGTAGGCCAATTGTAAAAACATTCAATCTGGAGTCCATTGCTTTTGATTTGATTTGTCTGTCATTATTTAATTATTGCTTAAATTACTCAACTAATTGTCCAAAACACATTTACACAGAATATTTTATATTGCATTTCACTTTATTGACATATTTTCCAATAGGCAGATAGTAGTAGTAACTGAAAAAAAAAAATACTTTCATAAAATTAATATCAAATGCATTTTACATTTTCTACTATCTATTTATTTATTACATCTAAATGAGCAAATGTAGGCTATATTGGATGATCCTCTGAATATGTTTCAATTTTTCAGTAAAATCCCACTGGGGGGGGGCACCAATACTATAATATATTACAGTCACAGTACAGTACAGTACAGTATACTAGCATAGCGTTCATGCGGCCTACCTGAGTGTTTGCTGAAGTTGTGGAGCACACAGACTCAGTGAAGGGAGGATGAGCAAGAACAGAAGCCGTGTTGTGATCATATTAACTGCTCCACTGGATCGCTTTGCCACACCTGTCACCGCAATCAAACGATTCGTGAATCATTAGAGAGGCAAATCGATCACTCAAGAATGATACAGCAGCTGTTGTACTGTTTGAATCAAATACCAAAGTGATTCTTTCAGATATGAGGAGTATGGCAGTAACCGAACTCCTTACACTGCGAGAACAATGAAGCCTTTTCTTCTTTTCTTTTTTTTATGTGCATTGTACTAATGGATGCTAGTATGATTTAAAGACGACCAAAGCAAACAGTAAGGATGTAACAGAAAAGCTAGAAGCGAAACGTGCCTGTACCTCCCGCAGCGGCGGTTAGCGGTCGCTCCATGATGAAACCCACCCCGGCTGATGAGAGCAGCACAGTCCCGTGTGTTTGCGTCAAAGTGACGGGCTACACGTGGATTCCGTGGACGTGTCGTTGACCGAATAAGATCAGCTCCTCCTTCGCGCTCTCCACCGACTTCCATCATCGCCACGTAGAGTCGCTGACACTGCATTTACAACATGCAGTTCCTCCGCATGCACCGCCTCTTGTGTGCAATATCTTATCCGTTACTGAGGAAAAAATCCTGTCAGTAAGTGACCAGCCTTATATTAGCATTTGGAGAACAAGAGAACACAGGACGTCAGCAGAAAAGGTCTTTATTTTTTTTCCGTTTAAAAGTTTCATACATTCCTGCTGCTGACAAACCCATTCCTGCTTTATTAAAAATCAATGGTTTTGCACAGTTTAGCCACAAGGTGGCATGCAACTATAATGGAATAATACCGTGTCTTCGTGAAACCCACTCACCAATGCATAATACTAATACTAATATTGATGATGATAATAATAATAGTAATAACACGTTGATTTAATAATTAAGTTAATTAAGAATTAATGATAAATTACTGTGAAAAGAATAAAAATGATAGTGGTAGTAGGTTTACTGTAAATTAAGCTTATGTTTCGCCACATGATGGCGTTGCTTCCGTTTTAAAGGCTACGACAAAGTATTACAATGAAAGCCAGTTTTCGTTTTGTTGAAAGATTTTTCACATAGTTACAAAGTCACAATAGCAAAATAATTAAAGCCAAAATAACAAATTTTGTACAACTGAGGTCTATCTATCTATCTATCTATCTATCTATCTATCTATCTATCTATCATCTTCTGTCTGTCTGTCTGTCTGTCTGTCTGTCTGTCAGATCGCATCTACAGCTTTTTTTCATAGGATCACCTTGACTTGTAGACACTCAGAGTTGATGTAATTGATTCACTTGTAGTTGATCAACTCAAAGTGCACAAATGCATAGTTTATGGTAGGTAAATCAATACCTGCCTTGCTCGCAGTCAGTCGTACTGTACGTGAATCTAATGTTGATTGAATATTTCTTTCCATTGTATATCATCTGTGTCCAGTTGATCATTGATCTCAGCACAGGACAGAGGTCATTGGGAGGTGTGTGCTGTCAGAAACACATGGAGGTAAAGGCATCATTTGTACTGCACTCTAGAGTACACAAATCTTTCCATAGGATTTTCATGGTAGCAAGTATTTATAAATAGCTAAGAATCTACTGTAATGATAATGCACTTATCTCAATCCCCAGTCTAATAGAATAAGCATTATTTGATAATGTTGTTTTCGCTGGTTTGATAAGATATAGTTAGTTACATACATGATAATAAATTGAACAGCTTTTTTCTTAGTCATTTGTAAATCTCACAAGTGTGTGTTATGTGTGGATGATGTTCGATTTCCTAAAAGCTGTGCCTGTTTCATGTATTGCTTTCAGTACCGTCTGTTCTGCCTCACTGCCAGATAGAGAGTTCAGCCAAAATGCTATTGTGTTTTCACAAACATTATGAACAATTTTATGCTAATCCTTCTAATCCAGTGCTATAGGAACCAAGCTTTTCCTTATGGTTAAATTCTGTTTGTTTAACCACACCTGAGTATACTGATATTACGGTTGTTGTTACTAGATCATAGGGGCATCATGTCAAAGGTCAAAGCAGATGGAGAATTTCCAGGAACGTATTTATGCTACACACCTACATAGCACACCTCGTTTGATCAACGGTTCCACATTATATGAACATTAATTTGAAAATGTTTGCAAATTTAAAGGAAAACCTTACAGTTGAGATTAAATATAAAATACTTGATTTCATAAACCTAATTCAGCAAAGTTGCATGGTAGAGTTAAATGTAATTTGATGTTTACTTCAATTTAATCAACCTGTAGGGGGCAGAATGGGTATACAGGTACATCTAAAAAAATTAGAATATCATGAAAAAGGTCAATATTTTTTGTCACCCATTTCAGAAAGTGAAACCCATATATTATATAGATATATTACACATAGAGTGAAATATTTCAAGCCTTTATTTCTTGACATTTTGATGATTATGGCTTACAGATAATGAAAACCCAAAATTCAGTGTCTCAGAAAATTTACCCCATAGATTGTCTATGGAGTTCAGGTCAGGCGAGTTTGCTGGCCAATCAAGCACAGTAACGCAATGGTCATTGAACCAGCTTTTGGTACCTTTGGCAGTGTGGGCAGGTGCCAAGTCCTGCTGGAAAATGAAATCAGCATCTCCATAAAGCTTGTCAGCTCTGAAATGAGTGACAAAAAATATTGACCTTTTTCATGATATTCTAATTTTTTGAGATGTACCTGTAAATCAAGATATTTCCTGAAAATAAAATAATAATAAAATAATCAGTTACACCTACTGAGATGTGATTGGCCTAAGAATAAAACTTAAATAGTGTGACAAACAATGACAAATTAAACAGTTGTAAGGAGTGATTAATTAACTGAAAGTCAAACAAGGAGGTCTATACCTAAAACTATCTGTTAGTATTCTCATTCATCTCAATGACACATGCATGGATGGTGCAGGACCCCACAGAAGTGTGTGATGGGAAATCATCTTTATTTATGGGGACTCAGTGCTGCCACCAGGTTATTTTGAGCCACTCACCTGAGCTGTAAATGCCATGTGACTTATCAATCTATGTAAGAAACCAGTACAACAGACAGGGAAAACATGAGTCGATTTTACTGTACACTATTAAGATTGTTCCAAATAAAAATACCAAAGTATTAATTTAATTTAACAGTGTTGTTGTGAAAATTGACAATAGAACTATGATTAAACCGACTGTGACTACCTGTGCATTACACAATTTTAATGCACACATTCCATCCAATCAGAATTCATGTGGATCATGCTATAAATAAAAATATTATCCATGCAATGTGATACTAAATGAATGACCACAATAAGATATGCAGATATGCTTTTAAAAGCCTGTATAGAGCCAAAGAGGAGCACTAGTGCACTTCTTGTCTCTATCAGCAAAAAAGGAAATTAGTGCCAATGATAAGTAGAGCATGATAAAGATGATGAGCATATTCTCACTGTTCTGACTGGTGTGAACAGCCCTTCTGTACACTATGCATGAGCTGCTCTTTTCTTTTATTTTCTCTCTCCGATCCCACTGTCTCTGGGTTGAGCAGCACAAACAGAACCCAGTCAGAAAATGCTGCTGAACTGGGACAGACATTTCTTCACAGTGTTATATGAGGTCAGCTGGGTTACATTCAGGATCTTTTTTTAAAGTAGTCATCCTGCTGAATAGACACACAAACTGAAAGCACAATGATTGCACATTAAAACATAACAGTGTAATTAATAAACAGGAAGTTCTTATCGACAGGAAGGCGGCTGTTATTCTAGTCACACTGATGGATGTGTAGATGATTAGAGATGATTAGCTTAGACTTTCTCAGTCAACCAGCCTCACCTGAAAGATTAATACCTTGTCAACTAGTTTAAGATTTAAGATTTTTGTTTTTGAATCAGCAAAAGATGAATAATAAATAAATAAATAAAATTGCATTAAACAATAATATTAAATATTTTTAAATAATTAAGTAAACAACAATAATACTAACAAAATATTAATAGTTACGATCAAAACAATTAAACAACAACAAAACAACTACTACAAAAACAATTATTTAAAAATAAATATTATTTAATACATTTTTATTTTGTATATATTTACTTAGTGCTGATTTCAAAATATTTTTAACAAAATAATATTTTTTCCTTTTAAATAATATACTAAATATTATTATATACTATAAAGGAAAAAATATTATTTTGTTAAAAATATACTACATTTTGAAATCAGCAATAAGTAAATATATACAAAATAAAAATGTATTAAATAATATATATTTTTAAATAATAATTAAGATAAACAAAATATTAACAATTAAATAATAGCAGACCAGTTAACAAGGACAACAACAATAACAAGAAGAAGAAGAAGAAGAAGAAGAATTGTTATATAAAATGGAAAAAAGAAGAAGGTTTGTTTTATATATTTCAGTACAAGCAGATCTATTATCACAGGGGCTTTCCTCTGTTTGCATGTAGCAGTGTGTGAATGTTTTGCTTTCTCATCAGACATCACCTTTGGGAAAGTGAGCTGTGTGTTTGTGTGAGGAAGTGTGTCGCTTGGCTGTCACTCAGACTCTGGATTAACTGACAGCAGAGGTCTGCTGCATCATGGGAAGCTACTGTACAGGCTGTCTGCCTCAGTGGGCCGCTCAGCTCCCTTGAGAACCGAGTGATCGGCAGGGTTCTAGTGGGAGCTGCTGTAACTCAGCATTCTCAGGGCTCTCATTAAGGGAACCGCTCATGGATAGAGGAAAAAAGTAATATTGGATTTTTTTGTGTGTGTTTTATCAATCGAAACTGTGTGTAAAGGGTTTCCGAATTTTATTAGCTTATTGCTGAAATCAAAGTTTAAAGGGTAGATGTTAATGGGAAAAAATGTGATTATTATTAACATATATCAAGTTAAAAGTCTGATATTGAAAATATCAGGGGAATATCAAAAAGCAATAAAATGTAAAAGCATGTAGGATATAGTGCCGCATTGGTTGTTCTGCTGTAACATCAAAGATCTGGACACTAGAGAACCCCTCGGAGGCGTCCCACCGCTGCTGCATGGAAATATCCCCACTTCAAACTCAAGAGGCTTTTTGCAGTGTGTGCAAAGTGCAGGCTCAGAGGTTTGGCCAGGGAAATCAATGCTCAACTGGAATGTAATATCATTTCTGTGAAGGGTTCAAAAATTTTTTTGTGTTAATTGGATCTTGATTTGTTGTTTTGTGGGGCTGTCTACAGTTGAATCAAGTCTTGTAAATACAAATAAAAGTTCTTCCCACCCTCATGACCCAAGACTGCTACTTTTTTTTTTGTCAGCAAATGCACCATGGTAACAGTTAAAAATAGAACAGTACAATAGAAGCAGAACAGACCTGTTAAATAAAGGTAGAAGGTAGAGAGAACAACATTGTGTAGAAAGCCAGTAATTCATCTGCACTATGCAGCCCTTTCCTTCCAGTGCCAAATAGGAATGTAAATCACACTGACTCAACAGATTGTTTGTTTTGTTAAAACATGCATCAGTTTCTGTATTTGCATGAAATATAAGATTATTTTACATGTTTTAAAATATATTGGAAGCGAATCGCCTTTTAAGACCGTTCTAATTTT